CTACTGAAAGTAATGTTTAAGATGCATTCGAATGAAACTTTTCGACGAAACTTTCAATTTCTCTTTAGTTTCGTCTAGTTTTCTCTTTTTTTTTCAAGGGAAGTGCATTTGTTTATTTGTTGTATATATTGTAAATTACAGCGATTCGTGTATTCGAGAGCTAGTAATTAACTGTAGCACTAGAATTAGGGGTAATCGGAGAAGGAGGTTGGTTTCTCGTTCGGAGTATTTTCGTTTTTTCATTTCCTCGAAATGAAATCTAGTCAGGGTGAAAGATGATTCGCAAAATGATTTCGAAACGTTCTAGCAACTTCTACAGGGTGTCAAAAAAAAAGAAAGAAAGAAGAAGGAAATAGAAAATTCTAAATTGTTCATGAATAAAATGTATCGTTATGTATGCTCGTATACGCGTTTATTACTGACAAAACGTCTGGCAAGAAACTTCCGGAAAAATTCTGCAGCATGCCCCGGTTTTATCCACCGGAGGATTCTTCTATTACAAATTACACATTATAAATTTTGTATGCGCGCATGATTTGCCGAATTGTCGTCTTGCCAGAATATCCGAAGATCAAATTAGTCAGCGTTAGATCATCGCACTATGCGCATCATTTTATGTTACGGAAGCGTGCGTACGTAAAATGATAGAAAGATCAAAAAATAGGGAAAACAATTGTAAAACGATGATAAACGTTTCGGAAATTGAAGTTATTTCGTTGTAACGAATGCCGGCGTTTCGGACGTGTCGTCGTCAATCGTAATTGTGTACGATCGAGAAGAAACGCCGGCGTTTTATGCTAGTGAGTAAAATAATATAAGATATGAAAGGACTTACGTGACGATGGCAAACAATTGTAGTCGAGCGAATTCGTTTCGAGTTTTTGACACCGTCTGCAGGACGAACGATAATTTTAATGCTTTTTCGAATGAGTGATATTAAACGAAAGGACAAATTTTTATAAGACGAAAACGAGCTCCATGGATAGGAAGAGTATATTGCTAAAATATACTTCACTGAAATTGCGACCGAAGAATTCGCAAATTGTACTGCAAATTAATCTAATATTTCTTAGTTCTCTCTCTCTCTCTCTCTCTCTCTCTCTCTCTCTCTCTCTCTATCTATCTATCTCTCACATTCTCTCTCTCTCTCTTTCTCTTCCTCATCATAGTATCTATATCCCTCGTTTTTGTGTCTAATATAAAAAGGGATTTTCTACTTGATAGCGTACTCAAACGACCAGTATTTCACTATATTTTTTAATAGTGATTTTTATAACTGTAAAGGAACAGTAATCGATAGTGCAATCTTTCGAACGTAAGCGTAGTTAGTTCATCAGTATTAAAATACGTAGAGGTATACGTAATTTTCGTGCAATCTTTTGTAATCTTGTTTGCTTTTTATTTCATGCTGTTAAACGCATATACTTCTTTTTTCTAAAAATACATCGTCGTACATTGTTGTCTCAGTTCAGAGTACAAACTGATTATTGCTTATTTCGAACCAGTCGATTTTGTGTACAGTTTTATTTACAGACCGTACTAGGTTTGTGTTCGTCCTTTCACATGTCTACTGTATATCTGAATTATGTTCGGCCTTACGACAGCAAAGAAACTGAAATAATAGATCGATTGAAGTGTTACAAAACTTACATCTGTCGATTAATTTGTTAATTGATCGATGAGCAATTATATATTAATCACATGCTTAAAGGTATCAGCACGCTAACGTCATGTTATTAATCAAATAGCGATTGTTCGTTTGAATAGTTTTCATGCATTCGATTTTTTCTTCGCAGTTTTTCCAAAATGCAATTTATGAATCAGCTTAAAAGGAGAGAGGTATATAAAATCAGCCGGGCAACTGATATCAATGAAACCTTTTCCAGTGAATCTAGAGCGAACTTGATCACAAAATCATTCAATTCTGAAGTTGGCGATTCGAGTTTGTCGACAAATAATATTCCGGAAAACATTAAATAATACCGCAGTGAATAATAGAAGTGTCATTTATTAGCAGTTGGTACTAATGGAAGCCTAATAAAAAGCAATAATTAACGATACCCATATATAAGTCGTTCAAATGATTATATGAAGCGTTTTATTGGTAAAACTGATATACATATAACAATAACTAAAAATGACAGAAGCTGCTTCGTGTTTTGATGACTGCCAGAAATGATGTACAAATTGAAGAAATTGTCGAACGATGTATCGCGTATCCAGCAACGCGGACACACGAACTTTAGACTCTTATTTACGCCATTAATGTACGAATTCTTTTACATCGTCGAATTTACAAATCAATACGCACAAGTGTTCGATTATGAGAGCGCTTAGTTTCGTACTAGATCGTTCACGAAAATGTTTCATTGAATCGAGTGACCTCAACAAATGCAACCTCTCCACGTTAGTTAACGTGTCGACAATATTAAGTGTCATTGAGACAGATTTCTGAGTAAAAATGTTTTCGATGCCCGCTTATGTTCGTATCGCCGTGTTTCTGAGAACGTGAATTGCTTCAATTACTCGCAATCAGCGTTAAATTGATAAAGGATGAAGAATAGCATGTAATTTCGTTACACTTAATTCGTTGAATCAAGATGATCAGGAACCGTTCTAGCTGATAATTTCACCTTTCGCGGATGAGAAAGCTTTTTTAAATTACGTACGGTAATAATGAACAGGCAATAATTGATTAACCGTTGGCAACGTTAATAACATTCTGTGTTCTGTTCGTTAAAAGATTCTACTGAATTTCGAAAGGACTTTTCACGAGGCGCATGCATTTTGTCGCTACCTTTAATTGATCACGAACGTTCGATCGTTATTTATTTGAACGAACCTTTGACTAGGTATTGTTTCCGAAAACAATGCATACGAACCATTTTACAATGAAGTTAAGCACTACTAGTAAGATGTCTATCTATTAATATTTATCTAAAGGTAACGTAAAATTATCGAGCTGTAAATTCTAGCTTTCTGCGTTGTATAAGAGCCCGGTTGCGAATTTCAGTGAGAGAGAACATTCGCCGAACGAGAATCCAAGGTGATAGATTCCAACAGTTTTTGCAAATCTATTTTAGGAAATCCTTCTTTTTGCAAAAAGCACGCGTTCGAAACTGCAGTTTCATTGAACTGAGAGTCTCATTGCAGACCGATTATCGCGAGAGAGACGTTCTCCGTTCGCTGGTAGGAACGTCGACGGTCGGAACACCTTCTTCTGTGAATTCGAAGAGCTTCAGATTTTTGCAAAAAATGGATTCCACGATACTTCAGAATTTTTCACGAGAAACAAAAACGAGAAGTCAGAATGTTCAGAACTTTCGGATGTTCGATGGCCAATCGAATTCATTCCCAAAGTCGTTTAACCCCTGCTCGCTGCAGAGGGGATCGCAGTGGAGGAAACATTCTGCTTTATACTTTTCTTCCAACTATTTGGGATAATTGTACTTACACAATGTCCTTAAATATCCCTACAAACAAAACGAGTAGACCTACGGAATTTTTGTATTCGGCGAACGCGAAAGTTCTGCCGATTTTCAACGACAAAGCGTGACTCGAACGTTTAACGATTTTATTAATTACTTGTGCGCGTGCAGATCTTTGACAAATACTTCAGCAATGTTGAAAACGTCGTCGTATATGGACGGCACAGAAGCCAATCATAAGATAACATATAATAATAATGTAAGATCATTAACCTTAAAATTGAGATAAATAAGGATTTTGCAAATTAGCTGTACAGAAATAGCAATGCCAATAATAATGCGAAGCACAATTTTTATTATAAGATGAGATACAAATGAACGTAACCAGAAAAGAAACAAAAGAAAAATTTTTTTAAAGAGAAAACAATTCCCTC